AGGACAATGCAAAGAGGCGGTTTTGTAAAGCTGAAGGTGTTCGAAGGTCTGGTCTTCGTTCTGTTTTTTTTCTTCTTCTTGTGTGTGTGTGTATGAGAGAGAGGGAAAGAGAAAGAAAGTGTCCACAAAAAATAAAACGATGCGGCCGGGCGTGATGGCTCACACCTGTAATCTCAGCACTTTGGGAGGCCGAGGCGGGTGGATCACAAGGTCAAGAGATCGAGACCATCCTGGCCAACATGGTGGAACCCCGTCTATACTAAAAATACAAAAAAATTAGCCCAGCGTGGTGGCACGTGCCTGTAGCTGTCCCAGCTACTCGGGAGGCTGAGGCAAGAGACTTGCTTGAACCCAGGAGGCAGAGGTTGCAGTGAGCTGAGATCATGCCACTGCACTCCAGCCTGGTGCCTGGTGACTGAGTGAGATGCTATCTCAAAAAAACAAAAACAAAAACAAAAAACAATGCTATCTAGTATCTAGTAACTGGACTCTGAAAAATACTTTTTTTTTTTTTTGAGACAGGGTCTCACTCTGTCGCCCAGGCTGGAGTACAGCAGTGCTATCACGACTCACTGCAGCCTCGACCTCCTGGGTTCAAGTGATCCTCCCACCTCAGCCTCCCAAGTAGCTGGCACTACAGGGGTGTACCACCACACCTTACTTACTTACTTTATTTATTTAATTGTAAAGATGAAGTCTCATTATGTTGCCCAGACTGATCTCCAGCTCAAGCAATCTTCCTGCTTCAGTATCTCAAAGGACTGGGATTACAGGCATGAGCCACTGCACCAGACTTGAATTTTTGTTTTTTTTTTTTTGAGATGGAATTTTACTCTGTCGCCCAGGCTGAAGTGCAGTGGCACAATCTCAGCTCACTGCAACATCCACCTCCTGGGTTCAAGCGATTCTTTTGCCTCAGCCTCCCGAGTAGCTGGAATTACAGGTACATACCACCACGCCCAGCTAATTGTTTTGTGTTTTTAGTAGAGATGGGGTTTCACCATGTTGGCCAGGCTGGTCTCGAACACCTGATCTCAGGTGATCCACCCGCCTCGGCCTCCCAAAGTGCTGGGATTACAGGCGTGGCCACTGTGCCCGGCCAAAATTTTTCATAAATAAGGAAATAAATAAAACAATGGCAATAGCGAGTATTTTGTGTCTTTAAAAATATGTGTCTTTTTGGCAACATAAAAACTTAGTGACCCCACTGGAGGCCTCCAGTTTTGCAAAAAAAAAAAGATAGCAGATCTAAAAATCCCAATCCCAAAGCCTGGGGAGCTAAAATGACTGTTCCAACCTCAGGTCAGGGACAGACCAGCCCCAGTCACTCTCCAGCCCCGCCATCTCCCTCTGAGCCCCACCCCCTCATCCCTCCTGGCCCCATCTGACTGACCTCTGGGATTTGGGCTCAGTTTCCCAGAGCTGGCACTTCCCACCTTCCCAGCCCCTCCCTCAGCTGCAGCAGGGGCTTCGAGCTACTTCCTGAATGTGGGGCTGCAGACCTGGCCTGTGACCCTCCCTGCACGTCCCCTCCTAGCCGCGAACCTTGGGGAAAAAAATCACACAATTTTTCTGATATTTTGTTTCATTACCCATGAAGTGGAGTCAATGATCCCTACCCCACACCTGAGTTGTTCGAGGTAGGGCAGACGTGACACGGATGTGTCCACATATGCATGTCCATCACATTGCACACTTATAATGTGTGCATTTTTCTGTGTCAATGTTATAATTCAACAAAACAGTTTATCAAAAATTAGCAATTAACTCCAATTAGCAAGCAGGCTTCCAACAGGGAGAAACTGATCCTGTTTATCTTTCAAAGAAATTTGATTACCTCCAACTTTTTCTTTTTTTTTTAAGAAGGAGTTCACTCTTGTCACCCAGGCTGGAGTGCAGTGGAATCTCGTCTCACTGCAATCTCCACCTCCCAGGTTCAAGCAATTCTCCTGCCTCAACCTCCTGAGTAGCTGGGACTCCAGGAGCACGCCACCACACCCAACTCATTTTTTGTATTTTTAGTAGAGACGGGGTTTCACCATGTTGGCCAGACTGGTCTCGAACACCTGATCTCAGGTGATCCACCCGCCTCGGCCTCCCAAAGTGCTGGGATTACAGGCGTGAGCCACCAGGCCACCTCCAACTTTTAAATGCGAACAGTAATTCTTCTTCTTATTTTTTTGAGATGGAGTGTTGCTCTGTCACCCAGGCTGGAGTGCAGTGGGGTCATCTTGGCTCACTGCATCCTCCACCTCCCAGGTTCAAGCAATTCTCCTGCCTCAGCCTCCTGAGTAGCTGGGATTATAGGTTCCCACTACCACACCTGGGTAATTTTTGTATTTTTAGTAGAGATGGGGTTTCCCCATATTGGTCAGGCTGGTCTCAAACTCCTGACCTCAGGCAATCCACCCGCCTCGGCCTCTCAAAGCGCTGGGATTACAGGTGTGAGCCACCCTGCCCATCCGGGACCAGTAATTTATTATTTGTGGCCTGCATGCAGCTGGCAGGGCCCACTGTGGGGGAAAAAAACATTCAGCTAAACTCACATTTGGGTCAGTTTCATGAGGCCTTATTTTTAAAAATTAACCTCCAAACCCATTACATTCCAAAGAGCTAAAAAAAATTACACTACTTTCTATTTTTAATGGACTCACAATAAAAGAAAATATTTAAAGCATTAAAAAGATGGCATTTTAAGTTCATTTTCCAAGTCATCCTGCATAGCAAAGACATAAACTTTAAAAAGATGAAATTGGCCGGGCGCGGTGGCTCAAGCCTGTAATCCCAGCACTTTGGGAGGCCGAGGCAGGTGGATCACGAGGTCAAGAGATTGAGACCATCCTGGTCAACATGGTGAAACCCCGTCTCTACTAAAAATACAAAAAATTAGCTGGGCATGGTGACATGTGCCTGTAATCCCAGCTACTCAGGAGGCTGAGGCAGGAGAATTAATTGCCTGAAGCCAGGAGGCGGAGGTTTCGGTGAGCCAAGATCGTGCCATTGCACTTCAGCCTGGGTAACAAGAGCGAAACTGTCTCAAAAAAAGAAAAAAATAAAACATGAAATTATAAGATATAGCCATAATTTTTTTTAAAAGTAAGGTAACCATCTCCATGTGACAGACACTAAAAATATGGCATGGCATTGGAGCCACGCTCTGCATAGGGGTGGGAACAGGGCTCCCCATCCATGTACCTGGAGAGGGGAGGAGGTAGCCACGGCCTCAGAGCCCTGGTGCCCAGGGACTCAGCACCTGGATGGCAAAATCCCCAGTCCCCCAGGAGGTGGGCGCTCCGAGCCAGCAACACACAGCCTCACCATTTTGGAATGGGGCCACCTACTGGGAGGTAGGGAGGAAGAGGGAGAGACAGAGATTGAAATGAGAGGAGCATCTACCCAAGATGAATCTACACACCTCACCCCGACCACATGGCAAAGCTGCTGCTAATAAAGATGATGAAGAAAATCAACCCTTAAATCACTGCAGGTAAAATGGAAACAACAGAAGCATCTGAACATGATCTCAAATTAAAATGTTTAGGATCATCAAGAAAGTGAGAAGTTGTAAAACCAAAACTGACTTAAATGAATTAAGAACAGGTGGTCACGAAAAAGAATCAGTGAGAAATCCTGAAGTTAAAGGTATGATTTTTATTTTGTTTTTTCTTCTTTCTTCTAAAAATTTTTTCTATTCTTTTTTTTTAAAGACTATTTTGGCTGGGCATGGTGGCTCACGCCTATAATTCCAGCACTTTGGGAGGCTGAGGTGGGCAGATCACGAGGTCAGGAGATCAAGACCATCCTGGCTAACACAGTGAAAAGCTGTCACTACTAAAAATACAAGTAGTCCCAGCTACTTGGGAGGCTGAGGCAGGAGAACTGCTTGAGCCGGGGAGGTGGATGTATCAGTGAGCTGTGATTGTGCCACTGCACTCCAGCCTGGGTGACAGAGAGAAACTGTCTTAATTTTTTTTTTTTTTTTTTTTTTACATAGTGGCTTATACCTGTAATCCCAGCACTTTGGGAGGCCAAGGTGGGCAGATCACTTGAGGTCAGGAATTCAAGACCAGCCCAGCCAACATGGTGAAACTCCATCTCTACTAAAAATACAAAAATTGGCTGGGTGTGGTGGCGGGTGCCTGTAGTCTTAGCTACTGGGGAGGCTGAGGCAGGAGAATCACTTGAACCTGGGAGATGGAGGTTGCAGAGAGATCACACCTCTGCAGTGGGCAACAGAGCAAGACTCTGTCTTGAAAAAAATAAAGGAGCCGGATTCCTTGTTCGCCTCTTTCCCTGGGCACAGAGGGTTGGCAAGTGCGGTCCTTAGGCCAGTTTCTGCGGCCCTCCAGGACATTCTGCAAATGCATGAATAATGGGTCATGACCCACTGTTCTGGTGATCTGGAGCTCACAGGTGATGCATACTCCTTTAGAATAGAAAGAAAGGAAAGTCATGGCTCCTGGTGGCACTGAGGGTGTGTTTTCATAAACATCCATTTAACAGCTGTGACAGCTAGAGGTCATCATTCACGGGGCATCTGGCTCTACCCTAGATATGGTCCCTCCGAGCAGCCCCTGCAAACACAGGAACCCACCAGAGGCTGAAGAGCCCTAGAGGAGACCAATTTGGCCATCCTGTACCTGCACTGAATCGCCTGCCTTGCTGTCCCCAAGGCAAACTGTTCCCTTGCTCCCTCCAGGGGACATCCATAGTCCCCAGGGGCTGCCTGGCTTCGCTAGACCCCTTCGAGAGGATGATTCCCAAGACTCTAATTCATTCATATTCTCTCCATATTTTCCCAGCCCCCGTTCTAAGATGTCAGGGATTTTGCGCAGGGCACAAAGCAGAAGCTGATATGAGACAGGGGTCCCTCCTGCCTCTTTACAAGAGCTGTGCTCGCTGGCCGCACAGGGGCGGGGTATGCACGATGGGTGAGGGAGGGTGTGTATTAGTTCGTTCTCATGCTACTATAAAGAACTTCCCTGAGACTCATTTATAAAGGAAAGAGGTTTAATTGACTCATAATTCTGCATGGCTGGGGAGGCCTCAGGAAACTTAGAATCCTGGTGGAAGGTGAAGGGGAAGCAGTCGCCTCCTTCACAAGGTGACAGGAGAGAGAAGAGTGAGTGAAGAAGGAACTTATAAAACCATCAGATTAGCATGGTGGCTCATGCCTATAATCCCAGCACTTTGGGGGGCCAAAGTGGGTGGCTTACAAGGTCGGGAACCGCCCCCATGATCCAGTCATCTCCCACCTCGGCATGTGGGGATAACAGGTCCCTTCCTTAACACATGGCTTTGGCTCTGTGCTTCACACCACAGATTCACTGACATCTTATCACAGTTCCTACAGCACCCATTTCACAGATGAGGAAACAGAAGCACCGAGAGCTCACGTCCCCTGCTCCAGGTCTCACAGCCGCTCAGCAGGCAAGCCCAAACTCAGTTCCTGACAGCAGCGGGTCTGTGCCTGGAACTCCACAGCAGCCCTCTGCTGGGCCTCTACGCCACCTTTTGGGATGTCCAGTGTAGACATGTCCAGTGCCAACTCTGCACTGAGCACGCACGTGGATATTCTCTGCTTCCCGGCTTCATTACAAATCCCAGGCATCTGGGAAAGTCCCTGGTCACAGGGAGCCCAGCAGTTCCTGGCATGGGAGGGCAAGGGGATAGAGGAGTGGTTCCTCTCCACCCTGCCTCTGAGCTGAAAGACGTATAAACCGGCAACGTCGCCTGGAAAGAGGCCTTTGGACTCCTAACCACAGGGTGCAGGACCCAGTAGCTCATGTCTGTGCCACGTGCCAAGTGGCATGCTGAATGGGCTGCCGCCAGCCGGCAGTGACTCAGTCCTCAGAAATGACAGGCTTTCATGGAGATGGAGGGCACTGGGGTCGGGTGGGCACCCCAGGAGGAGCCTAAACCCCCATAGGGGGAAGGAGAGCAGGATGGAGAGGCCTGGGGTGGCTGACCCAGGTCACACCTTCCAGGAGCCACTGACAGGCCCCAGCAGGAGAGGTGGAGGGGGTATAGGACAGGCCTAGAGGGCACAGGAGAGGCTGGGCCTCCGCAGTGGGAGAGAAGATAGCCTCACAGCGCTGACCATCAGGAGGCCTGGCCTGCCACCCCATGCTGTGTGCCTATGAGGCCCCTATTCTGTGACGGGGAGCAGCCCCATTACCTGGAGACAGGATTGGAAAGTATTCTCACTTCATTACATTTCTGGGCCCGCTGAGCTCTTTCACAGGCTGAGCCATGGATTACGTGCTTATGAGTTGGCACAAAGAGGGGGCCGGGTCTGATTCATCTGTGTGCCCCACCCGCTGCCCACACAGGATCGGGTGCAGAAAGACACTTCCCATGCTTATGGGAGGAAACAGACTAGGATGGGGGAAGAACTGGCCTCTGGGGTCCCTCTTTCTTCCCGCCCTATCACCCAAAAGTCGCCTTCCTGGAACCCCCGCCCCCACATCCCCCACATAGGTGTTGACACGCTGATCAGTGGTGGAGGTTCCAGGCAACATGGAACTCAGAGGCTGAACAGGTTCTGGAAGCCCGCAGCTGACCCCCTGGAGCAGAGGCCTTGGCCAGCTGCCAGCTCTGTTAGGTCTCCAGCTATGGCTCCCATGAAGAGCTTTGCCATCCTAGATGCAGGGGCATCGGGAGGGAGAGACCGGTGAGCCGTTTGGGAGAGGTGGACGCTGGACAGGGCAGAGAAGAGGAGCCCACACCTCCTGGGGGAAGATCGCCAGGATTCGGAGATGAGACCTGGACACGAGGGCTTGGGGGACATGCAAGCGAAGCCTGGGCCGGTGGGTCAACAAGGGGTCATTCGCTGAGTAGGGGATGTGAAGGAACAAGGAGCTGGTGCATCAGGGGCAGGGAGGCACATCTGAGCCAGGACATGGAGGTGACATAATTGACATGTGGCTGTGGCTGCAGCCAGGGACTTGGGAGAAACGCCACCGAGATGATTCAGAGGAGAAGGGCCAGAGACCAGGTCCTGGACCCAGGGATGTCCACCTTTAAGGGGAAAGCAGAAAAAGAAGGGCTGGGAGAAGCCAAAGAAACAGGCCAGAACTGCACCGGTAATCACGGGACAGAAGGTTGAGAGAGTGACATGCCAGGAGAGCTGCCGCTCGCTGGGTTGGCAGAAGGGGCAGATGGTGAGTAGGGGGAGGTCATGGAGGAGGGATGGCGTGGAGGGTCAGGGAGTTCGGGAGAGAGAGGAAGTGGACCTGGGAGAGGAGACAACTCCTTGCTTTTAGTGCAAAGAGCCTTGAGCACATATTTATGCCAGAAGAGAATGTCTAGGCTTGAAGGGCGAGGTGAGGGCTGACGGCACAGGGCTTCCAGGAGAGGCCAGCTCGGCCTGGAATAGAAAGCGGGGCACAGCTTCCACAGAGGTGGAGAAGGGGACACAGTCCCTCGTCTGTGATTAAATGCCAATGGAATCTGGGCACTGGGAAAGAGGTGCAGCGCCTGCTATCTGAAGGCTTCCAGTCTAGTGAAGGCTGGTAGGTGGGAGGCAGATGCATAAAGATGAGGATCAGGCCTGGGAAGCAGCGTGGGAGCCAGGAACACCCAGCCTTCTTCTCATCCCTGGGTGCCCAGCACCTGGGAGCATGAGTGGTGACCTGCAGGTGGGTCCCCCTGGTTATTGGGAGAGTAGGGGAAGGCAGATGGAGTGGGGAGTCTTGAGTAACAAGCCAGTGTCCCTGGTACACATCTCTGAGCATGGCAGATGTGGTCCGGTCTCCACGGTGCTCCAGGCCCAGCTCAGCTTCTTCCCTGGAGGGACATGCCCAGATGGGCACCCAGCCACATCCAGTAAAAGATGGGCATCTGATGCACCCTCTGACCTGGCTCCTCCTCTGTAGCTCTCAGCCCCTGAAAATCAATTTAAAATTGTGCAATTAAAGGTTTCGCTCACTACAAAGGGCAGGTAAACAAGACAGACACAAATGATCCTTGGGAGTCCTGGACAAGGGGGAGAAGGTGGACAAGTGAACAGACTGTGATGATCCAGCCTGCAAAGGGCCAGCAAGACAGCAGGACCACCCACCGTCATGTGGAGGGGGAGGGAGGGCTTCCTGGAGGAGCTGACATCTAATGCCACCCAAAGAGTAAGCAGCAACTCATGAGTGTGGAAGGTGAAAGAATCTTCAGGCAGAGAGAACCACTGATAATGGGAGCCAATCCGCCTGGGTTCCAACCCCAGGCCCTTCCCAGCCCGACCCCCAGTGGTGGGACTTCTCTGTGCCTCAGTTTCCTACTCTTTAAGAGGGAGCGAGACAGCACCAACTCCGTAGGTCTGAGAGGACCACATGCTTGGAAGACAGCCCTGCGCCTGGTGTGGCAGCCACTCCTTCCGAGAGCGCTGGTCACCATCGCGGGGAGGAGGGAGGTCGCTGTCGCCGAGAGCCCAAGGACCGGCGCTGACTGCCAGACCCTTCTCCACACCCGCCAGGTTCCCGACCTCGGTCCTCAGAGGCCACGGAAGGGGGCCCCTCCTTCCAGGACTGCTGCAAGGTCGCCCTGCGGACAAGCGCCCCTTGCAGCCCAGGCGCCGGGGAAGCGGTGGAGGCACCGGAGACCGGGTCGGGGGTCTCGGGCGCAGCCCCAGGACCTGCGGAACCCGGCCCGCTGCACAGACGCACGTGCTCCAGAAGGTGGCGCTGTCGCCCCTGGAACGAAGCAGGTCCCGCAGGCGGCGCTCGCCGAGGGGAGGGGGTCGCGAGAGCGGGAAGGGAGGGACGGGAGAGCAGGGCGCCTCCCTCCGCCCCGCCGGCCCCGGCGCCCGATGCGGTCCCTGCGAGCACCCACCCAGGGAGATCTCATTGCCGGCCCCTGCTCCCACTCCTGGCCGCTCCGATGCCTGTGGCAGCCGGGGTCCTGCACCCACCTCACCTGCGTGCGGGGTGACCTTTCATGCCGGGCCAGCCCCCCAGTACCCCCTTCTCAGCACACCCGGGTCCCCGAGCGGGCCAGGTGGTTCCCTGGGTGTGGGTGCCGCCGGCACAGCTGGGCTGGATGCTCGCACGCCTGGGTCCGACTGGCTGCGGGTGCGCGCTCCTGCAGGGCTCGGGTTCAAGTCCTGGCCGTGACACTTGGACCCCTCCACAGCACGCCCCTCATTTCCCCCCTGTAATAAGATACCTGCAGGGTAGGTTAGAGGAGCTACCCGAACAAACGCACCTGGAACGTAACTGGCTGTTAGCAGTTACGACCATGGAATAGTCCATGGACACCTGTCACCTTTGTGCTGAAGGACTTTGGGGATAAGCAGTCCTCATCAAAAACGTGGGGAGAGTGACCCACGTCACTCAGGGAAGAGGACTCGGTAGGGGCAGCTGTCACCGGGATGAGATGGAGAAGAGTCGTAGGACCACCTATGGCCCTGTGTCCCCAGAGCTACCTGCTGCCACAAACATACACACATACAAACATATACACGTATGCAGGGACACACATGCTTATATGCACACATTGCTATACACATAAACACACATGCATATAGACACATGGAAACATGCTCCTATGTACACATTCATATACACACACGTACACATACTAAAAATACAAAAATTAGCTGGGTTTGGTGGTGGGCACCTGAAATCCCAGCTACCCAGGAGGCAGGAGAATTCATTTGAACCTGGGAGGGAGGCTGCCGTGAGCCAAGATTGCACCACTGCATTCCAGCCTGGGTGACAGAGCAAGACTCTGTCTCAAAACAATTAAAAAACAAAACAAAGGGGTGGCAGGTCAAAGGTGACTAAGAGACTAAACCACCAAATGCCACGTATGTGCCTTATCGGGATCCTGGTGTTTTGGCTTTTTTGTTTTTTCTGAGATAGAGTCTTTCCCTGTCACCCAGGATTATGAGGATGGCATAATCTCATCTCACTACAACCTCCACCTCCCAGGTTCAAGCAATTCTCCTGCCTCAACCTCCTGAGTAGCTGGAGTAACAGGCGTGTGCCACCATACCTGACTAATTTTTTAAAAATTTTTAGTAGAGATGGGGTTTCACTGTATTGGTCAGGCTGGTCTCAAACTCCTGACCTCAGGTGATCCACCTGCCTTGATCTTCCAGAGTGTCAAGATTATAGGTGTGAGCCACCATGCCTGGCCTGGTATCCTGTTTTGAACAAGCCCACCTGGAAAAGCCATTTGGGAGCCAACCAGGCAAACGTGGACTGCATACGACGTGGCATTAGAAAATCAGAGTTACACAAAGGCAGTTTATAAAAGTACAGAAAAAGGAAAAAAAAAAATCAGGGTTAATTTTGTGAGCTGTGATGATGGCATTGTAGTTCAGTAAAAGAAAATGTCATTTTTAAAAGAAAATGTCTAAAAAAGACTTAGGGGGAAATGTCACACAGACAGTAACTGACTCTAGACTAATTTAGAAAAGACCAGATGAAGCAGACATGGTGGAATGTCAGCGATTGTTAAATATAGAGGCTGGATCTGGAGGCGCGCACAAGGCTACTGTCTGCGATTCCCGAGGTTGAGAGTCTTCATAATAAAGAGCTGTTTTCAGGCCGAGCGCGGTGGCTCACGCCTGTAATTTCAGCACTTTGGAAGGGCGAGGGAGGGCAAATTATGACGTCAGGAGTTCGAGACCAGCCTGGCCAACATGGGGAAACTCTGTTTCTACTAAAAATAAAGGTTGTTTTAAACTAAAAATAACTGTTTTATACTAAAAATAAATAGTTGTTTTCAACTTTTTTTTTTTTTTTGAGACAGAGTCTCGCTCTGTCATCCAGCTGGAGTGCAATGACCCGATCTTGGCTCACTGCAACCTCTGCTTCCCAGGTTCAAGCTAGTCTCCTGTCTCAGCCTCCTGAGTAGCTGGGATTACAGATGCATGATGCTACTCCCTGCTAATTTTTAGTAGAGACAGGGTTTCACCATATTCCCCAGGCTGGTCTCAAACTCCTGATCTCAGGCAATCCGCCCCCCTCGGCCTCCCAAAGTGCTAGGATTACAGGCGTGAGGCGTCTGACCCAGCAGCATCTCTTAGCAGCGTGGGCTAGCAGGGGGTTGCTGTGTTACCTGGGGTGCCACTCACAGCCCAGGTGTGCTGGGGAATGAGCAATTCTGGGTTTGGCCCTTTGGAAATGCCAGAGGTGTCATGTGAAATCCTAACCTGGGAGCAGTGTCCCCAGGAAAGAGCCTGATCTAGGGTGCTAGACTCTTTGATTTTAATGATCCAGTGCAATTTTGCAATAGATATTAGAGAGTGAAGATTTTAAACTGTGACTGTTTTCATTAGCTTGCCTCTCAAATATCAGCAGAGCTTCTGGCAGGATGGAAGTTACCCCTAAAATCCCACCCAGCTTCAACCCTGGATGGTCCAGTGCCTTTTGTAACAGAGGGAGTGGAACAAGCTGAGTCACCCTCACACCGGGCCTGCTTGGGAATGCCGGGGGTGGGGACACTGCCCAGCCGACCCCCAGGTTTGGGGACACCGGGGTGGGGACACTGCCCAGCCGACCCCCAGGTTTGGGGACACCGGGGTGGGGGCACTGCTCAGCCGACCCCCAGGTTTGGGAACACCGGGGTGGGGGCACTGCTCGGCCGACCTCCGGGTTTGGGGACACTGGGGTGGGGGTGCTGCTCTGCTGACCCTTACTTGGGTTTGCTGAGCAGGGTGGGCATGCTAACAAAGGGGGTCTGTCCAGAGGCTGGGTTGCAGAGAAGCGACGTCCAGTGGGGCTCCCTGGAGGGAAACCTGGTGTCCTCTCACCCCCACTTCCCCCTGCAGCCACCATCTTCCCACAACGTGTTCAAAATAATTCTCACTAATCCATGATGGAACTGGATCTCTTGGGGTCACATCAGAGCTGACAACCTCAAGGTGGATGCTGGTGAGAGGGGCTGCCCCTGTGGGCACCACCATAAACACAGGGAGCCTGCCACGCCCAAGGGACTGGAGGATGTGCTTCTCCCCCCACACCTGTGCCCCCACCCCCAGATGACTTCATTCCCCTCAGCAGCGTCTGGAGAAGGACTCTAGGCTCAGTAAACTCCTACAAATGCAGATGGCACTCCTTGGGAAAATGCAAACATGAGGCTCATGCTTTCATCCAAGTTGACATCCCTCTTACTTGAGCGCCTAAGCCCGTAGGGGCTGATACTTCCCCAGAAGGAAGCAAGGATTCGTATCATGCACACGGTTGAGGCTCCACAGTTCACCTCCCTTCCTCATGGAAGAGATGATTTCACTTTCAAAATGATACTATGCGGGCGTGGTGGCTCAGGCAGGTAAACCCAGCCCTTTGGGAGGCCAAGGCAGGAAGGTTGCTTGGGCCTAGGAGTTCAAAACCAGCCTGGGCAATGTGGCGAAACCCTATCTCCACTTAAAGTGTGGTGGTGCCCACCTGTATTCCCAGCTACTTGGGAGACTGAGGCAGGAGGATCGCTTGAGCCCAGGAGGTCATGGCAGCAGTGGGCCCTGATTCTGCCACTGCACTCTAGCCTGGGTGACAGAGCACGACCCATTTTTCAGAAAAAGAGAGAGAGAAAGGAAGGGAAGGCAAGGGGGAAGGGGAAGGGAAGGGACTTTGGAATTGGGATGGAGAAAGTGAGGGAGGTAGCGCTGGACCACCACGGCCTTTGCTCTAAGCTAGGACGTTCCAGCCACTGCTCCTCTCTGTGAGCTGGAGCAGCAGAAGTTGGCCAGGCTGCAAGGAGAGAGAAGAATGAGGCCAAGACGCATTTGGGAGCCGGCCATGCAGGCTGCTTTCTGGCTCTCCGTTCTAGATCCTTCTGGAAGCCTGACTTATTCCCGTCCCTGGGCCCCAAGATCTCACCATATAATAAATATCCCACTGACATCGCCTCTTCTTTTTTCCTCAGGTGAGTGCTTAGTTTCTCATTGC